TAGTAGTGAGGTTTGGTGCTGATGTTGGGCAATAAGGCCTGGCTCGCAGTTGCCTTTTCAATTCCTCCCAAAGGTGTAAAGGTGTAAAACAAACTGCCACTGGATTCTGAAGCAGCAAAAACACATTCTCTGGAGTGATGGGTCATGCATCACCATCTGACCCTCTGAGTTTGACAGATGCCAGGAGAACTCTACCTGTCTGAATCCATAGTACCAACTGTAAGGTTTGGATAAGGAGGAATAATGGCCTGGGCTGTTTTTCAGAGTTTGGGCTTCGCCCCTTAGTTCTAGCAAAGGGAAATCTATGCTACAGCATATAATAATATTCTAGAAAATTGTGTGCTTCCAAATTTATGGCACAGTTTGGGGAAGGCCCTTTCCTGTTACAGCTTGACTGTGCCCTTAAGCACAAGCGAGGCCCATAAAGAAACTGTTTGTTGAGTTTGATGTGGAAGAATTCGATTGGACATTGACTGCCACATATGGATGCGATGTTTGGGTGTCCATGTATTTTTGAAATTATAGTGGAAATTAAAACTGCTTTCACTGGATTTGAGGAATGACATTCTTTGTAACAAGGTGAATGTGTTTTATGTTCATACAACTAGGGTATTGTATATTTACTTCAGGATGTGCTGAGCTCTTTTGCTGACAATGCTGGTAAGAATGAGCAAGATAACCGAAAACAAGCATGAGATGAAGCCTGATTGGACCGGCTCCAGCTGAAAAAGGGCACACAAGCTAAAAATACTCACAGTGGGCATACCCCGAATCAAAATATCATAATCTCACACGCACACAGAGCTTTGTTTTCATTCCCAGTATCCAATCAAGTGGAAGCACTGGAAGGAAGAAAAGGGTTGGCTGACAGTTCCAAAGAAAAGACTCTGAGGCCTCGCACACAGGAAGGAGTCTGTAGAACAGTCTTGTAACATGACATGACACGAGGCAGACGTGTAGGAAAACGAGCAGTTCTTAAAGCACAGTATTTGGTGTCAGGGCAGGTAGGATCTGTGCTTCACCAAACATTCTTCTATTGTCTGAAAATAAAATAATCATTTCATTTTGAATATTCCTGTAGGACCTTGCCATAATTAAAGTCAGTCATACTTTTAGCTTTCAAAATGAAAGCTGATGTAATCAAGACCCAGTGTTATCTTTCCTTCTTTGGAAGTACTGCTGTTTTCCTGTGTATTTTTAAAGAAGTTATTCAGAACACATTAGACAATTCACATCAACAGCACAAACACATGTTCAAACATGAAAAAAAGACTTTAATACTACCTCTTATCACCCTATTCCATGACTAAGGCTGTTTTTATGATGCTGTGTCATTGTCTGGACAGTGCACAATACAACTTGTGTTGGACAATGATGTAATTTTTGTTGTTTTGCACAGCATATTGAATTTGAAAGTCAGCTTCACTTGCATTTAATATAGAAATCACTGTTTCTTTTAAAGCCCACTGTGCTACAGTATGATTATATGTGTATTGTTGCTGTGCAAGCATTTTAAAACCAGCTGTTGTCTCAGTATGCTATACATAATTTCATTTAGTCCATCAAAAAATTTTGCCACTCTTCAGCCAGTTTCAAGAAGTTTGAAGACATCAGCTCATCTAATGTTTCTTCTGAAATCAATTTTATTACTACTCTGTTTTTTCCCTTTTGCTGCAGTAACAGCCTTTACTCTTCCGGGAACGCTTTACACTAGATGTTGGAACATTGCTATGAGGATTTGATTGCATTTAGCCACAAGAGCATTAGTGAGGTCATGTACTTATGCTGGATGATCAGTTCTGGATGGGCTTTATACCCCTCTAGCTGACACTTGGCATTGGGCATAGTTACATCTCAATGATTGATCTATGTAGAAAGCTTTGCTAAAATTGTTTTAATTCCCCTTTAACTGCCGTTCCATTACTTTATCAGCGCAAGTGAAGTGTGTTAGATGAACCCTTGGAAGGGTGAGCGACCAAACAAGCAGAAGTGTCAACTTCAGCAACAGAACTTGCTCAGAAATCATTGCAATCTGAAGCAGTTGCCTTTTCAAACTATAATGGCAGACAAAACTTTTTATAAGCCACAGCAATGCTTCATATTTCAAAACCATAATATGAAATTTGATTTTTTTCATAGTGGGTTTTAGGTAGCAAACTACTTCATCTGTTCCACAACTACCTTACTTCATTACTTTACTCTGCTAGCCTGCCCAGCTAGTAACAACAAAAAATAAAAGTAATACACCACGGTACTAAATCCAAGCATGGAGCCAGACAAATAAATTATTCACAAATGTTATGTACATGACGTTCAGACATCTCAAACAAACATTTTGCAACAAAAGGTCTGCATGAATAGCCAATTAACTCACTGTGGCTAACCTAGCTGAGGGTGAGTGTGTGTCCTCGCTGTCCGGCCTCCTCCTCTTGTGCTGAGAGTGGCCAATTGTGTGACTTCTGAGGGATGAGTGGAAGATGGTGAGGGCATGCTAATAAAAAATTGGCCCTTAGAAGAGACTAGCATAACTTAGGAAAGAACATGATATTCTAGGACTACCATTATAAAGTACTACATTATGTAGAAACCGCAGCAGAATAACAGCTAAACCCTTGAGCATGTTCATGCAGCTTGTGCTGTTCATGATGTCCTCAGTTCATGATTTCCTCTCAGTACATTATTATTATTAATAGGACAAATAAGAATGTTCTGGCCAATGTGATATAGTTGCGGTTTGATTGAGGAAATAATTGTGCAGTGGAACATTGTTACTAAATATAATAGCAAGCAAAACGGTTAGTGTAATTTATTGTTCTCAATGGCCATAATTATCCTGATTAACAGCCCAAATGACTTCATGTCCACCTCAGACACTTCAGTGTTTCAGGCTTTTATACACACCACATGCGTCAATGTGTCTTTAGAAACTGCTCTTTCTATGATGGATCAAACTCTCTGATCTCAGAGTTCAATGGAACAGCCGCCTGGGCCAGAAAAGGTCCTGCAACGAGGCACGTGGATGGACACGATTTTCACACAGCACCACACAGGCACACACAGCAAATAACATACTAATACAGCCATACACTATGTACATGAAAAGAACTTAACGTTTTCGATACAATATCATCATAAAAACAAATGTGTGAAATTAAAAAGTGTGTTGTAGAAGAGAAACAGACTCTCATGTCAAAGTGAAAACAGATCTCTGCAAAACAATTTAGTTACACACATAAAACAAAGTACCTAGCTGCATAAGTATTCACCCCCTTTATTATGACTCTCCTAAATTAACACAGCTGCAGCCAAATGGTGTTAAAGGTCACACAGCTACTGAAATGGAGCTCACCTGTGTGCAGTTAAGGGGTTAGTATATTAAGTATATACACCTGCATCTGGAAAGTCCAGCTTCTACTGAAGCCATCTGCAAAAACAGAGTGACTGTGAGCCACCAAGAGACCTCTAAAAGAATTACAATCCTCAATGGCTGAGACTGAGAGAGACTGTACATACAACAGGTCTGAGTGCTTCACCAGTCAGCTTTATGGGAGAGTAGCAAAAAGAAAGCCTGTTAAAAAAAAAAAAACAGATGGTGTTTTGGCTACAGTTTTCAGAAGGCATCTGAATGAAGTTTATACACTTTGATGAAACAGACACTAAACGCTACTGCACATCATCAGGAATACACCATCCCCACTGTAAAGCACGGTGGTGGCAGCATCATGCTGTGGGAAAGCTCCTCTGCAGGAGGCCCTGGAAGGCTTGAGAGGGTAGAGCATAGAATGAATGCAGCAAAAAACTGGGAGATATTGGAAGAGAACCTAATGCAGTCTGCAAGAAACCTGAGCCTTGAGAGAAGATTTGTCTTGCACCATGACAATGACCCCATGCATACAGCCAAATCTATATAGGACTGGCTTAAAAAACAACAATCTCAATCCAATAGAGAATATGTGGCTGGGCTTTCACAAAGGATGTAAATTTTTGATCCTCATGCAACCTGGCAGAGCAAAAATTGCTGTACTTATGCAGTTAGATACCGTGTCTCACTTTGAAATGAAATAGTCTGTTTCTGTTGTCAGAAAAAAAATGAACACACTGTGATTTAATGTTCTATGATAATAAAACATGAAAACCTCCAAGGGGATGAATACTGTTTATTTATAGGCACTGTATACCTCCAATGAATAAGAGAAGGTGTACGGCTAAACCCAACTCTAATCTTAATCTCACAAACCAAAAATGTGTAGTCCTTTATCTTATGATCCACATAAAGAAAACAAAACACAAACAGTCAATAATAGCCATTAATAATTCATAATGTTGAAAGTGGTTGATCATCAGAGATTACCTTAAAAAGTGATAATGTACTGCCCTTTACAACATTATTATTATTAAAATTTTTCTTTCTTCAGCTTTTGCTGCCCTCATGTGCTGAAAAATGGTACTGACAGGACAAACTCGTTTCTAAAGACATCTAGGACTTGATTAAACTTGATTACTCTCTCTCTCTCTCTCTCTACATATATATATATATATATATATATATATATATATATATATATATATATATATATATATATATATATATATATATACATACATACACACACACACACACACACACACATTAATTTATATTTATGTTCTTACTGAAGCAGCAATGATTAACAACCTGTTTGGATGGCAGTAATACATATTTTAAATTCTCCTACTGCTGTCTTACAGTGAAAAACACAGAACCTGAGAGACACATTATAAAATCTTTTTAAAAGTTTCTGTTTTTTCAGTAAGTTGCTTTGGAAACTTTGAAAGGCTATGTATGCTTTATTGTTTATTTAAAATGTTTTTTTTTTCTAATAAATCAATATAATTGGTAGATGACTCAGTTACTGAATATCAGCAACAGCGGCAGCCCTAATCTATATACCCATGTCTAAATCTCTGTTGTATAACATGAGTGAGCTAATGAAAGGTCATTCATTAAGATCATATAAAACATATCTTTTTTATTCAAAGTTTGAAATTTAATACAGTAAAATCAATGAATAAAAGCAACATTGGTTCATACAAATGAATAAAAAAAATGAGAAGCCCTGAAGAAATAGTCATCCACACTTGCAAAATTTACTCTGGAGAAACACTCGAGGAACACACAGTCCTTCCTTTTTGTTCACTGTTTCTCTCAGAACGTACTCATTCACAAGGGTCTGAAAGCCCACCTGGTGAAACAGACTGGCAAGATACTCTGAAAGAGAGAGAGAAGATGTTCGTGACATCAGAGTAGATAGAACAGAACAGTAAAGAGACAGTGGACTGAAAACAGCTGACAGCAACTAACCTCTGGAGAAGAAAAATGAGCGAGTGCCATCCTGTCTGACGTAGAAATTCTCCCCGAGTTTGCTCCCTGACTTAAACCTCAGCATGGCATGGTCATAGAGGCCATAGTCCCTGAACAAGACAATACCGCCTGGTTTTAAAACCTGCCAGATGAAAACAGAAGCAACATAACTTTCTCTGCACATCATAATGTCAATAAGAAACATAAAAAACTATATAAGGTACAGTGCAATAGCCACATAGACTTCATAAGGGATTGCTTTAAATGTTACAAATGGTTTAAGGCAGTTCTACAAAGATTTCCACGTCCCCTAGAGTTTTTTCTTTGTTTTCCTGTTCATTATTGAAGTAGCCAATCAGTGTACATACTAGATTTTAATACTTCTTTTCAACTTTAGATTGGCAATCAAACTATAAGAAAGTACATGTTATATCTGCTTTTATCAGGGTTTAAAAAAATGCTATAGGACTCAACAGCCCCCCCCCCCAAAAAAAGCATGTAAGGATGCTTAATTTGGCCCAGAGAAAGTTACCCTAACCCCACCCCCTCACCCAATAAGAGAACAAATATATTTTATACCGTATTTTTAATTTTTTTTTTGAGTTATCTGTGTGACAAAAAAATAGTGTAATGTTAAAAATATAGTTTTAAATATTCAAAATATTCAATATCCTATGCCAACCTCAAACATTGCACTTTTTGCCACCCAAGACAAAAAGTTTGCACAACTCTGTAATAGGAAATTGATTGTTATTGTTTGTAAAGGTCCAAAATGCAGACTGGTTTTCTCATAAACAGCAAAATGACAAAAAGAAACAACTCGTGTTTTTTGTTAATCACCTTTCAGAAATACATCATATATCTATATTAAAATTCTCAGGAAAACTTTTGTATCCGAGTTCACTAATAAGTGAGCGCTAAAGAAGCAAATGTTAGCCTGTTAGTTTAATCAAGCCAGGCAACATGTGAGGTTGGTATGGGAATATGGCATTTAATAATGTTAGAAATACCGATTTTGGCACACTACTGCACCTTGTTAGTCTGGCAGAGCTTTGATTACATATTAAGAATATTAATCGTGTGGCTCCAGTACAATACAAAGTTAAACCAGTTAAAAAAACAAAAACAAAAAAACTGTCCTGGTTAATTCACATTTTAAGGTAAGGAGAAAATCAAATCTGATTTTCAATGAACCTAAAATGTCAAAACATTTAGTGCAGAATCTTATATTATGTACAGTGTCACTGACCTTGTAAATATTTTCCAGGGCTTGCTGCATTTTGTCAGGATGAATAGCTGACAGAACAAATATCAGAGTGGCAACATCTAGACTCTCTTCTGGGACAGTGGCTCGCAAGTCATCCTTAGTGAGGTCACACTGAAATGCCAGACATCGGTCTGGGCAGTAAAGTGGATTTTGCTGCAAACAAATGCACAAATGTGATAAGAGTGCAAATCATTGACAAAGCTGCTCCAAAATATGTAATCCACTAAAAGACCAAGTCAGTTTACTTTTTCTGCTGCATATGAAACCGCCCTCTGTAGGGCTAGAATTTGACAGAAAAATATGTTTGTTCCCTGGAGAGGATGTCTGAAAATTAGCAAAACATTATTTGACTGGGTGTGTTCAAACTTTTACACAAGACTGTATCAGCCTGTTCAATTCGAAAGGATGAAAAGAGGTTAGAAAACATACAAACATAATTTATGATCATTTTTGGTACAAATACCACACAAATATCTAAAGTGAACATAAGCCCTTTAACCAATGCATCTCAGTACTAAAAATCCAATTTTCCAGGCCAAATTAACAGTCAACCTTCAGATGCTAGAAGCAACAAATTCAAATTTTCCTTAAGAATGCTCAGCCACAAAACCTGGCTCACCAAACCTGACTTACTTCATAAATGAACACATTACTGTTAAACCAGGTAGGCTTACTTTATAATCTGAAATTATAATTTGGTTTAAAAAGAATAAAATGAAATTAAAACTTTGGGGGAAAAATGTAGAAAAAACCTGTTTCAATTGCATCACTAATGGAAAAAAATATAACAATTACTGTGGGTTATAGACGAATATAAAGAAACACACACTTATATGTAGTATATACAAAACATAGACATTTACATACAAGGAAAAGTGGATGATAGCGTGATGATTTCTATTAAGCAAAATGCTAATTGAATATTGTACATTTTGCTATTGATAGAGTGTTAAATATAAATGCCACTCTATAGGAATAAAGGAGAAGCACTTTTACTGCTTACTTTCACAAACTCTACAGCTCGGGGTGAGAAGTCACACGCGTAGATGAAGATGTTGAGATCCTCCTCTAACAGAGGGAAGATGCAGTTCCCCACTCCACATCCAGCTTCCAGCATTACCAGCTTCTGGGCCTCAAACTGAACCAAGAGTAAAACAAACAACCAAAAAGGGCCGTTACTAACCCTGTACTGCATGATGTTGCCCTATGGCAACAACTAGCTTCTTTTGTTTTTTGCCTGACGACATTTTTTTTCTTTTCCTTTGAAAAACTGGCTATACATAGTATACATGACTTCATTTTGCAGTACTTTTTTTTCATACACAAACAAAGTGAGGACTAGATCTCTAAAAGTTTGTGTATAATTCAGTTTTCATGTACAATAAATTCATAACAAAAAACTGAAACTTACTCTGTGGGAAGTTATTTCTTTTTCATAAATGAAACCAGTTTAAATGCCATGGGTTTGACATAAAATGATGCATATGGCAACAACATGAGACACTGAACTGCAATCCACACACAGTGAGAGTAAATTAAATTCACTCGAATTCACAGCGTTTTACATTCCATACTGATATTTTTATTCAACATTATTATTTCCAGTCTGCCTCTGTTCTTCCTTTCGGCATTCTCAAAATATTTATGCACATATTTGGCTATTACATACATGTTTTTTCATGCCTGGATAATGAATGTGGCTATGTCAGTGTACTACTCTTTTCCCACTGGCTCATGTATCAAAGTTCTCAGAGTATGAATACTGATCTGGGATCAGTTTATGCCTTTTAAAATGCACTCTATAGGACTACACAGACTGATGAGACCTGACTGTAGATCAGTATTGTTGATCTGAGATGCCTGATAAATGTGGGCCACTGTATGCACTGCAGACTCCACATGGAAACGCAAAGCAATTACTTCTGTAATAACAGTTTTATCACTGTAAATAAAAATAATTACGAAACCCTATTTTTACTGAGTGACCACCTGAATAATAACTCACCTCTCTGCAAGCCTTTAGCTCGTCAAACTCTCTCGTGGTCCAGTGTCTGTCCTTAAAAAAGTTTGTGCTGTTCCTTTTGTAAAACAAGTCCCAGTTTTTCTGAGCTTCCAGCTCAAACTTCTGCTGCTTAAAGTCCGACACCAGAACTCGGTCATTGCTCAGTTTCTCTCGTTCCTCTTCTGACAGAGTCCTTTCACTGGAGCCCGTACACTGGCGAGGAAACCGAGGGGAAGATCCTGCTGCTACTGCTGCTGGGTCAGACTCCTCAGCCTCTGCCATGCCGGACAGCAGCTGAGTCTGAGTGACCTCACAGTTCAGAGCTGTAGCTCGTGTTGTTGTAAAGGAAACACGGAATATTTGAACTTTTCACGTCTGTCATCCAGCGTGTTCTGACTTACAGTCTGTATAAAAGCAGGGCAGGTCAGACTGATAGTTCCGAGAAATCTGACCAATTCTGAACATGTACTGGATCCGACGCAGTCAGGAAAACAGTTTAAACCCCTAAACGTAACATCGTGCTCTGCGCTGGAGCTCGCGCGTTCATTTCCTCTTCTTCGGCGCTGTATGGGTGTCAGGACCACACTAATGTGCATAGCGACATCCAGTGGACACGAATGGAAAATCACTTACATAGATGTTGGGAACGCTAAAAGCTAGAAAGCAGGGCCTGGAGAATCAGACCCAGCCTCTACGTGTTTAAACCGCACTATGTGTCCAGATGTATCCAGACACCCCTTCTAATCAGTGAATCCAGCTACTTCATGGTGCAGCATAACACAGCTGTTCATTTGCTCACAGAGTTTGTATCTCCACAGAAAAACACTATCAAGAGAGCAGAATGCTCTGCCCATACGGACATCTGATACACTATACTGCCAAAAGTATTCGCTCGTCTGTCTTCGCTCGCATATGAACTTGAGTGACATCCCATTCTTAATCCATAGGGTTTAATATGATGTCGGCGCCCACTTTGCAGCTATAACAGCTTCAAATCTTCTGGGAAGGCTTTCCACAAGGTTTAGGAGCGTGTTTATGGGAATTTTTGACCATTCTTCCAGAAGGGCATTTGTGAGGTCAGACACTGATGTTGGACGAGAAGGCCTGGCTTGCAGTCTCCGCTCTAATTCATCCCAAAGGTGTTCTATCGGGTTGAGGTCAGGACTCTGTGCTGGCCAGTCAAGTTCGTCCACACCAAACTCGCTCATCCAAGTCTTTATGGATCTTGCTTTGTGCACTGGTGCGCAGTCATGTTGGAACAGGAAGGGGCCATTCCCAAACTGTTTCCACAAAGTTGGGAGCATGAAATTGTCCGAAATCTCTTGGTCTGCTGAATTATTAAGAGTTCCTTTCACTGGAACTAAGCGGCCGAGCCCAACTCCTGAAAAACAACCCCACACCATAATCCCCCCTCCACCAAACTTGACACTTGGCACAATGCAGTCAGACAAGTACCGTTCTCCTGGCAACCGCCAAAACCAGACTCGTCCATCGGATTGCCAGACGGAGAAGCGTGATTCGTCACTCGAGAGAACACATCTCCACTGCAGTGGCAGCACTTTACACCACTGCATTCGACGCTGTGCATTGCGCTTGGTGGTGTAAGGCTTGGATGAAGCTGCTCAGCCATGGAAACCCATTCCATGAAGCTCTCTACGCACTGTTCTTGAGCTAATCTGAAGGCCACATGCAGTTTGGAGGTCTGTAGCGATTGACTCTGCAGAAAGTTGGTGACCTCTGCGCACTATGCGCCTCAGCATCCACTGACCATGCTCTGTAATTTCACATGGCCTACCATTTCATGGCTGAGTTGCTGTCGTTCCCAGTCGCTTCCACTTTGTTATAATACCACTGATAGTTGACTGTGGAATATTTAGTAGTGAGGAAATTTCATGACTGGACTTGTTGCACAGGTGACATCCTATCACGGTACCACGCTGGAATTCACTGAGCTCCTGAGAGCGACCCATTCTTTCACAAGTGTTTGTAGAAGCAGTCTGCATGCCTAGGTGCTTTGTTTTGTACACCTGTGGCCATGGAAGTGATTGGAACACCTGAATTCAATGATTTGGATGGGTGAGTGAATACAATATAGTGTATATGGCAATATATGGATTTCTACTATATGACATATATTATCCAATTTATATTAGTCACATATAGACATAAATGTGACATAAATGCCAACTTATTTGAAATTGTCTGTTTTCAAATATGGGACATGTATTTCAGTCTTCTGTTTGCTATGCAAGTTTTAAGTAAAGCCAGTTATGGACAAGAACTCAGAGTTGTCTGAGTTTCTTCTGAGAACCTCCTAGGCTGCAGTATATACAGTCGTATGCAAATGTTTGAACTCCCCTGGTCAAATTTTAACTTTTTGACTACAGTGCAGTGCACTACACTGTAATTTTATGGTACTACTGCCACCACCATCAGGTGAAAGGAAAAACTACAGCGTATTGGCTGGGGGCCACTTATAACACACTCTTAAACAAAAGTCACAGACCAATAAAAATTTGTCACATATTGCGGAATTTAACATATTTCAAAAATTATATATATATATATTCACAATTCATGGGCATTAATATGGAGTTGGTCCCCCCGTTTGCAGCTACCTTTGAGCTTCCACTCTTCTAGGAAGCTTTCTACAAGATTTTGGAGTGTCTGTGGAACTTTTTTCCCCATTCATCCAGAAGAGCATTTGTGAGGTCAGACAGGCCTCTGTGCAGGCAAGTTCCTCCACACCAAACTTACCCAACTATGCCTTTATGGACCTCGCTTTGTGCACTGGGGCACAGTTATCCTGGAACAGAAAAGGGCCTTTGCTAAACTGTACCCACAAAGTTAGAAGCATAGAATTGTCCAAAATGTCTTGTTATGCGGAAGCATTAAGATTTCCCTTCACTGGAACTAAGGGGTCTAGGCCAACCCCTGAAAAACAACCCCATAGCATCATCCTTCCTCCACCTTTACAGTTGGCACAATGCCTTAATGACTTAAGTTGTTTACACTAAGCTGAGAGCAGTGTTGCACCATGCAAATGGACTTTCTCGTTCACTTCCCTTTGTGCATAAGGAAACAGCTGACGCCACCTTTCCTTTAAGTTTTAGCCTAGTTATTTCCTCTTTTTTAAAATGTTCCATCCTTTTCCTGAGAATGTCATACTGGGATGGTTGGCTTTTTGTCTCATTTGACTATAAAACATAATTCAAGTAAAAGTCTCAGTTATGTTTAGCAAAGACAACGTGCTCACATGCGTGGCTTTCTCTGGAAAGTGTTAAAAATAATTTGTTGGCATAGGGGAGGCGTCTAATTGTACTTTTGGAGACTTGATGACCCTACACTGCAATCTATTGTGATCTTTCTGCCTCTCCAACCATCCTCCACACTGTGTGTGTGTAGGTGGGAATACACTTCTTTCTTTATTTGAGCTTCATTATAGCTCCAGTTTTGGAAACTTATTAATAACTATAATGGAGAACAGTATGTTATTGTGTAGTGGCTGTTATCCTTTGTGTATTCTGTGATCTTTCTCATCTTGATGCTAAGTGTGTTTGGCCTGTGCATCAGCACAAAATTAAGCCTCACAGACCCAAGCAGTTATGAATGACCACTTAAAGGGGCATTGCACTTATTTTTTAACAATTCTGCATAAATAAATGGTTAAGGTGTAAACAAAATCATTGAGATGGTTGTTAAACGCTGCATTCTAATGCAGACATTGCTTTACAATAGCTTTGAGAAAGTTTTGGCCTAAAAATGTTTAAATCATGGCAGAGAGGTACATGCAGGGTTGGGATAGCTACTGAAAAATTAGTAGTTAGCTACTTTGTAGCTACTTTTCCAAAATTTGTAGCTAGCTGCAATTTAGCTACTTATCCAGAGAAAAAGTAATGGCTACATTTTAGCTACTTTCAAAGCGTGATTGTCGGAATATTTGTGAATCTCCACCTGACACACAAAACAAGCCTAACTGAAAGTGTGAACAAGGCACTGCATTTAATCATGTACCAGAAGACAAAAAGATCACCAAAGAGCACCAAAATGATGTTACAGCTAGTCACACAGCAACGTAGATAACGGTCTCGTCTAGCTAGTAACTAACGAAAAGGCAAAGAGAAAGATTTAAGATGAGCATTGATTATTTGGAGACAAACTGACTTATTTGCATTTATAATCACTCCAGCTGGTTTCCTCATATGTTTAATCTGCAACAGAACATTACGCTGCCTCCGGCACCATTTAAGGTGGAACGGGATAATTCGAACAAGAAGCTGGTGAATGAGAAGTGACTTCAGCCTCATAAAAAGTTCAACATTAAGAGACTTTTACAAGGAACTCTTTTCGTGGAAAATTTCCTGCTGGAGATGCAAGAAAAGTGGCTACAGCTGACCTAAAAGTTAAAGCAGAGCAAAGTAAGTCTGTGTTTGCGTTTATATTATATTTTTAGCCTATACTTGTACATCAGCACATACTGAGACATATTTACAGCCATGATGGTAAAAAGGACATAAAATGTTGTGGCTGCCAAGGTGGTTTCATTTTTGTTGAAAGGACAAAATGGGTCTTCTTAACATTTCGGTTGCCAATCCTTGAGCTAAGCCTACTACTAAGGATTGCACAAATGCCACTAGCCCAGTTAACGACCGCCTGAAGCCTGTAGCGAAATTGTAGCAAAAATGATCGCTATAGCGGCACAAACGCTACAGCGTTTAGTTACATTTCAGAAAACTGTAGTGGCTACAGCTATTAGCTACAAAAATTAGCTACTTCCCCATCCTTGGGTACATGCAGGGTGTTCAGTGGCAAAATAGTCCTCCAGATTTACCTCTATTTCACCATTTTCAATATTACATATAAAAACTCAGGAGACACGCGTAGGTTCATTGATTGTTTTGGATATATAACATGAGCCCTGGTTCCTTTCAGCCCCTCTGTAAAGTTTCTCCACAATTAACTATTTCACATCAAACCACTCTGAATGACTGTTTACATCTGATTGACTGAATTATGCACAGAAATGTTGCATTAGGAGTGTCTAAAGACTCTGGTGTGCTTAAAAAAGCTAGAATGTGATTTTGAAGGATGTTAATTTCTTTTTGAGGGTGCCAAAAAATTACATTGCATTTTCTAGGGTGCCAATAATTTTGACACATGTTTTTGAGAAGAGAATGTCTTATGTTTTATGCATTTTTCTTTTTTGAATAATTTGGCCTCTCTAAAAGATTAAATTTCTCTCATATTTCCAGCAGAGAAACAACAAAGCCGTTTTTCTTCAAAGCCTTTTTTCATCTCACGAAGAGTGCCAGTAATTATAGAAGGTACTATAAATAAATGATAAATTTCTCTACTAATTAAATGTTTATGTGGCTTATGTTGAACACAGATGTATATTTGTTACTGTGGACTGTCATTGTCATGAATTTCCTGTGGTATGATTTTAAGAGATCTGCGTGTGTCAGGTTTTGTCTATTAGGCTTAACTTAAAATGTAAAACTATTTTGGGAAGAGCTGCCTAAACATCTTTAATGGAAAAAAAAATGTTTAAATAATA